GCATTTCGGAAAGACAATGACTGGAACGGCGATTCGACGACGAGACTGTTTTATTGTTTTAATGATTGTTTTATTGCTCATGGATGTATTTTTAAATTTAATTTATGTCTAATTGTAGTGTATAATTGTAATTGTTTGTACTGGCATTGAATTTTTGCCATTACTTATGTGTAAACCGCTTTGAGTCCCCCTTGGGGTGAGAAAAGCGGTATACAAATACTGTAAATAAATAATAATAAATAAATAATATGTAAGACAATTGGTTCAGTACCATCCAAGTCGCCCCGTCTTCTGTGTGCCCAGAAGGGAGTTTCGCATCCGGTCTCAGCCACTAATTGAGGTTCCAGGGTTTCGCCTGCCACTTTTGGAGTCTCGCTTGTTGAGGTGTTCCTGCGAGTATCTCTGTAGATATGATTTAAGAAGTTGGTGGGCTGACTGATATCTGAACATGGGGTGGGCTGGGGATGCCAATGCTTTGGTCCTTTCACTATTGGTTACTATTTCCCAGCGGATGTCAGGTGATGCAATAAGGCTAACCAGAATAATTTCTCCAGTGGTGTAGAGCATAGACATCCTGTGACAATGTGGCATGTCTCATTAAGAGCCACATCTACTGATTTAGCGTGGTGAGATGTGTTCCACACTGGGCATGCGTATTCAGCAGCAGAGTAGCATAGCGCAAGGGCAGATGTCTTCACTGTGTCTGGTTGTGATCCCCAGGTTGTGCCAGTCAGAAGCAACCAGAAGTAATTTAAGGTAAGACTGTCCAACTCTGATTAAACCGTTATTCTAATCTTCTTTAATGTAAACATGCTTACGTATCCTTCTAATAATAGCAAAGAGAGTAAAATAATAAACATAGTTCTAGACACTTGGGAAGTATCCAACGTGTGATCCAATACAACAGCCAGCATTGTGATCTTGTTTGCTGTGTACTAATCTAGTTTTGCTTCAAATAATAATAAAGTAAAATAATAAATATAAATAAAATAATAAAGTAATAATAATAATAGAGTAAAATAATAAATGTAATAATAAGGCTGAGAAAGGCAGTATACAAGTCTAGCAAATCAATAAATCAATAATAATAAATATTAAAAAAAATAAAGTTATAATAATAGAGTAAAATAATAAATGTAATAATAAGGCTGAGAAAGGCAGTATACAAGTATAGCAAATCAATCAATCAATAATCAATATAAATAAAATAATAGAGTAAAATAATAAATGTAATAATAAGGCTGAGAAAGGCGGTGTATAAGTAGAGCAAATCAATCAATAAATAATAAATATAAATAAAATAATAGAGTAAAATAATAAATGTAATAATAAGGCTGAGAAAGGCGGTATACAAGTAGAGCAAATCAATATAAATAATCAATATAAATCAAATAATAAAGTAATAATAATAGAGTAAAATAATAAATGTAATAATAAGGCTGAGAAAGGCGGTATACAAGTATAGCAAATCAATCAATCAATAATCAATATAAATAAAATAATAAATTAATAATAATAAATAGAGTAAAATAATAAATGTAATAATAAGGCTGAGAAAGGCGGTGTATAAGTAGAGCAAATCAATCAATAAATAATAAATATAAATAAAATAATAGAGTAAAATAATAAATGTAATAATAAGGCTGAGAAAGGCGGTATACAAGTAGAGCAAATCAATATAAATAATCAATATAAATCAAATAATAAAGTAATAATAAGAGTAAAATAATAAATGTAATAAGGCTGAGAAAGGCAGTATACAAATATAGCAAATAAATAATAATAAAAATATAAATCAAATAATAAAGTAATAATAAGGCTGAGAAAGGCGGTATACAAGTATAGCAAATCAATAAACAAATAATAAATATAAATCAAATAATAAAGTAATAATAATAGAGTAAAATAATAAATGTAACAAAAAGGCTGAGAAAGGCAGTATAAAAGTATAGCAAATAAATAAATATAAATAAAATAATGTAATAATAGAGTAAAATAATAAATGTAATAAGGCTGGGAAAGGCAGTATACAAGTATAGCAAATAATAAATATAAATAAAATAATATAATATTAGAGTAAAATAATAAATGTAATAATAAGGCTGAGAAAGGCGGTATACAACTACAGCAAATCAATAAATAATAAATATAAATAAAATAATAAAGCAATAATAATAGAGTAAAATAATAAATGTAATAATAAGGCCGAGAAAGGCAGTATACAAGTTTAGTAAATAAATAAATAATAATAGGAAGAAGAAGAGTAAAATAATAAATGTAACAACAACAGAGTAAAATAATAAATAACTCTGACTTGAGTATAAGCCAAATCTATCTAGAAGGTTTCGAAGCTGTCTGCTCAGGCGCAGAAACTACCATATGTGCGATTCACAGTTGACCACGACGGGGAAATATATGGTATCTTGCATGGTAAAAAGCAGATCCAGAGTCTACACCAAGAGTCTCGACATTTTTATTCTGAATTCAAGCACAAAAGTTTGACATATACATTTGTACAATGGAGGGGGGGGGATCGGAGAGGTGGAAAAACACACCCAAGAAAGGAAGACATCTTTAAAAAATCTCATTTTCTGCCATCATTACAAATATTCCAAGAGAAAGGAGACAGAGGACAAGAGAGACTTCTCTGGGATGTTCTGGGCTGAATCAAAGCTCTCAAGAAGAGCCTGGAAGCAAATCAAGGAAACTATTTTCAGGGAAGGAAATGAGACAGATCAACCAAATCCGCAAGACTTCAAGTCTCTTATTCTTCTGAATATTCCCTTGTATCTCACAACCATAAAGAGCTGCACATTGAACAGAGCTCCATATACATTAGGCCTGGGCAATGCATGGTTCTAAATGGTGCTAAAGCACTTACAAAACTAAAGTTCCGGTGGTGAAAATTTCAATTTCATTACTTTCAAAATTTAATTATTATTTCATTATTGGTGATTTTTTATGACAGAACCAATTAGGAACTGCCATTTATAATGAAATTTTGAGAGTTTTGTTAGAGTTCTGAAATTTTCACCACCAGAACTTTAGTTTTGTAAGTACTTTAGAACCATTTAGAACCATGCATTGACCAGGCCTAATATACATATAGAACCAATGTCAAGGAAACAACAGAATGACAAGTTAATTAGTGTCTTGATCCGTCTTGATCAACTAGATCTCTCCCAAGTCTTGAGGACAATAGTCAAGCCAAGATTTCAGAAGTCGCCGTCTTCGGGGAGACGCTTCTACATTGATTTGTTCACAAAAAGCGGCACTCCCTGATAGGGTTGTTGTAGGTTTTTTGGGCTATATGGCCATGTCCTAAAGGCATTCTCTCCTGACGTTTCGCCTGCATCTATGGCAAGCATCCGGAGATGCAGGCGAAACGTCAGGAGAGAATGCCTCTAGAACATGGCCATATAGCCCGAAAAAACCTACAACAACCCAGTGATTCTGGCCATGAAAGCCTTCGACACTCCCTGATACTTAGGAAGCCTGCGTTCAAGCTCCCAGATTTTGACAAAATACATGTATTGAGACACACCTCCAACTGCTTCACTTCCCATCCCACCTAGGGTTAAATTATTGCCAAAGCTATATGTTCTCCCCAGACTTTGCATCCAGGATTATTGCTATGTTTACATTTCCTTATTTTCAAACTGACTTGGAAACAGGGGATGCTCCGCTATTCTTTTGTACTTATGTTTTCCTGGAGTACAAAGAGCTGAATGTTCTTTGTGTACTAATGGATGCAAATAAACACACTGTAGGGTTTCCTTGCTGGAGCCATTGAGGGAAAATATATATACAGTACCAGCATCTCAGAGTTTGTTGTTGTGATAGAGAAGCAGAGTAGCATCAGCTGTTTGTAGCATGAAGCACTCCAGATAAGCTTCCATGTGGATTTGGAAAGTTTTGGAGACGTCCACCTGTTAGAAAATTGGTACTTTGGCTCCTACTACTATCAATTAATCCTTCTTCATTTCCCAAAGCCTTAGCTAAGTAAGCAAGCATGAAGCGCTTCAGATAAGCTTCCATGTGGATTTGGAAAGCTCTGCAGACATCCACCTGTTAGAAAACTGGTGCTTCGGCTCCTACAACTCTCTCTATCCTAATCTATATTTCCCAAAGCCTTGGCTTTCCAGACTGCTAAGGACTGTAGTATGGCAGCATAAGGGGCAAAAGTCCTGAAGGTAAAAGGAAATGGGGCAACTGGAAGCTAAATCACAAAATCGTCCAAAGGTTGCTTGAAAACCATTCGCCCCTTTGTGCATTCAATCTAGATCCCAAATATTGGGTTCCAGAGTGCGTTACCCAATGCTGGCGAGTCCCTTAAAAGCGACAGAGCTGGTGAATAATATCTCCTATTTCTCATCAATATCAAACTTAAGGCTATTGTGAAGGATGCATAAATACAGATCTACCTGTATTTACAGGTTGCTTATCTGCAACCAAGTTTCTCCAAGTGGTCCCCTGTGAAATGCGTACTAGGCATGTGCAATCCATGGTTCTAAAGTACTTACAAAACTAAAGTTCTGGTTGTGAAAACTTGCTGGAAGGCGGGACCGTGGCCCAATCGAGAGAGACTTTGCGCAAGGAGAGCCCTCAGTTGGGCGCGGCATTGAGGGCGGGGCCTAAGGAGGCGGCCTCATGACCCCTCCAAAATGGCCAAGCGACCCCCAGGTTGAGAACTGCTGTCCTAAATGGTTCTAAAGTACTTACAAAACTAAAGTTCTGGTTGTGAACACTAGGGGGCGCTGGTGCTTGGCTTCTACAGTGTTGCTAAAGTTCTGGTGGTGAAAATTTCAGAACTCTAACAAAACTTTCAAAATTTCATTATTGGTGATTTTTATGACAGAACCTATTAGGAACTGCCATTTATAATAACATTTTGAAAGTTGTGTTAGAGTTCTGAAAGTTTCACCACCAGAACTTTAGTTTTGCAAGTACTTTAGAACCATTTAGAACCATGGATTGCACTTATTTATTTATTTCATATATTTATATTCCACCTTTTTTCCCCCACAAGGGGGATTCAACGTGACCAAATGTGACACACTTGCCAAATGCGTACATATGGTATTTTCTGCGCAGGAAATACCTTATGTGTGCATTTCACAGGGACCACGACGGAGAAATATTAAACCTCACACCAAGACTGAGTGCTGAAAATTAAGCCGCACGGCAAATGTCCCTCGTATGCTGGCAGTGAAAAATTAGCAAATGAGGAAAAGGATCTAATCACCAGCCCCCAGAAGAAGAAAAAATAACAAAGCACTGCTACAGAGAACTTCAGAGATTTTTTTTTTTAAAAAAAACATTCTTCATAGCAGCTCCAAGTGGAAGAAGAGTTCAAGAGTGCAACATCGGTTTCCCCAAATTGCAAGGTTAGATGGGAAAAATGGGGAGCTGAAAGAAATATTGTACACATCCAGGTTGAAAGGAAAATATATTTGATTTGTGGAAGTGTGGGAGGAAATGCCAAACACTGCCCCAGCCCACCAATGAGAAAACAGATACTGGCAAGATTCAAACTGGAGGGAAGCCTCTCCTTGCAAGTATCGAGGTGTTGTGATCCACTGAAAAGATCAGCCTCAATCAAGATCAGGGAGGGATTAGAGCAAGTGAAAAAAAGAGACAAGATTCCCGGTGAAGGAACTCCTCAGTTTCCCCGGAAAGCGCTCTGTGCTGCTGTGGAGGCCGCGCTCTGGAAGTTCCTGTTGGTGAGGATACCTTGGGAGAACTCCTCCTGGGCTCTCTGGAAGCTGGCTCCCGTCCGGCGGTACAAAGAGTGGACCTTGGGGAAAGAGGACAGCACAGACCATCATCGTGGACATCATGTCTCCAATCCCACAACCAAAACAGACACTGCATTTCCCTCAGTGATGCCATTTGCTAGACCAGGAGCGTCAAACCCATTGTCATTGAGGGCCACATCAACTTCAGAATTTGTGGATGGAGCATGACTGCACGGAGTGCCATTACTTTCCCTATTGATCTACTCACATTTGCATGTTGTGGTTGGCAGGAGTTGGGGCTAACAGCTGGAGCTCACCCCGCTCCCCGGATTTGAACCAGCAACCTTTCGGTCAGCAAGTTCAGCAGCTCAGCGGCTCAACCCGCTGCGCTACCAGGGGAGGGGGGGCATTATAAATATGGGGGGGAGGGGGCATTATAAATATGGTAAATAATAATGAATAAAAAATAATAATGTACTTTATAGAAATATATTTAAATATGTAAATTTTTTGCACTTTTTAAAATTGTCTAGTGTGGCTTGTTAGCTGCCTTGAGTCCCCATGGGGAGAAAGGTAAAGGTAAAGGTTTCCCCTTGACATTAAGTCTAGTTGTGACCGACTCTGGGACTCTGATGCTCAACTCCATTTCTAAGCCGAAGAGCCGGCGTTGTCCGCAGACACCTCCAAGGTCATGTGGCTAGCATGACTGCATGGAGTGCTGTTACCTTCCCGTCGAAGTGATACCTATGGATCTACTCACATTTGCATGTTTTTGAACTGCTAGGTTGGCAGAAGCTGGGGCTAACAGCAGGACCTTGCCCCACTCCCCGGATTCAAACCACTGTCCTTTCGATCAGCAAGTTCAGCAGCTCAGCAGTTTAACCTGCTGCACCACCAGGGGCTCCAGGACCTACTATACTGTTTGATATTGTGGTTAGTAGGGTTATGCATTTTGGTTAAGCCGCAATCTCTTTTTGGTGTCCCGAATTTCAGCGCAGTCCTTGTTACGTTTTCGAGTGCTTTCGGAATTTGGCAGGGTGAGAATCTGTCTTCCCTTACGGCAATCGAAAGATTCATTTTTTATCTGGCCCACTGGCGAAAAAGGGGAATTTATGAGGCTCCCCTTTCCGTTGTTTTTATGGCAAGGGCTTACGAAACCCTGCTTGCTGTGATCTCTTTCTTTCTTTTATTTTCTTCCTTTCTCCCTTCCTTCCCTCCCTCCCTTCATTTCCTCCCTCCCTCCCTTCCTTCCTCCCTTTCCTTCCTTCCTTCCTTTCTCCCTTCCTTTCCTTCCCTCCTTCCTTCCTTCCCTCCTTCCTTCCTTCCCCCCTTCCCTTCCATTCCTTCCCTCCCTCCCTTCCTTTCTTTCCTTCTTTCCTTCCTTCCCTCCCTTCCCTTTCTTTTCTTCCTTCCCCTTTTCCTTCCCTCCTTCCCTCCTTCCCTCCTTCCCTCCTTTCTTTCTTTCTTTCTTTCTTTCTTTCTTTCTTTCTTTCTTTCTTTCTTTCTTTCTTTCTTTCTTTCAAGGAGACCTGGGTTTAAGGCAAGGGTTTAAGAAACCCCCCTTTTTGCGACCCTTTCCCTTCTGTCTTTAAATGAGACAGGCCACAGGCTTAAGAAACCACTAGGCATGTGCAAAATTTTTGGATCACAAGCTTTGCTAAAGCTGTTTCTACTCCAGAGGAGACACAGCTCTCTCCCGGCAGGAGCCAGTTTTCCAAGGCATTTTAAGGGGGCTTCCCAGGGAAGGAAGAGGGATCCACCTATAAGCGAGCTTCCTTAAAAAAACCCTCCCTTCTCTCTTGATTTGGAGGCATCATAGGGGACAACTGGCGCCTTGCTTAGATCGCCTCCCCCCCCCCCTCGCACTTCGATTCTACCTCCAAATCCAGAGAGAAGGGAGGGCACAAGAAACCCTGCTTCCTGCAATTTGAAAGACACTGAATTTATTATTTACTAGCCGTCCCCTGCCACACGTTGCTGTGGTCCAATCTGTGTATGTATATTTTGTGTATGTATATATATATGTGTGTATGTTTGCGTGTATATATGTGGTTTTGCGCATGTGTTGTAATGTATTTTTATTTTGTGGCTTTTTCAGTCCCTTCTGATGTGCTTTTCAGTGTTTTTATGAGTGATGGTCACTCCTTGGCCTGAGAAGTGTCTTGTGTCCAAATTTGGTGTCAATTCGTCCAGTGGTTTTTGAGTTATGTCAATCCCACAAACAAACATTACATTTTTATTTATATAGATTTATTTATTTACCATACTTATATACCGCCTCTCTCAGCCCGAAGGCGACTCGAGGCGGTTTCCAACCGGCATTCAATGCCACCAACAACATAAAATAGAATTTAAAACATTAACATATAATATAGACCATATAAAAGCAGTGCAAACAATAATAGCAGCCTGTTTTGGATAGCTGCTGTTCTGTTGCAACTCGGAAAAAAAATGGCGGCGGAGCCCATGCCGCCATGGGCGTCTGAACAAGCCGAAAACCGGTTTTGAAAATGGGACCGTGCACAAGCCTAGTGGTCGGTGCTCTGTAGATTTTACCCAATTGGCATCCCCAGATAATAACAATCTATATAAATAAAAATGTAATGTTCGTTTGTGGGATTAACAGAACTCAAAAACCACTGGATGAATTGATACCAAATTTGGACAGAAGACACCTAACAACCCAATGTATGTCCTGCACTCCAAAAAATTGATTCTGTCATTTGGGAGTTGTAGTTTTTGGGATTTATACTTCACCTACAATCAAAGAGCATTCTGAACCCCACCAACGATGGAATTGAACCAATCTTGGCACACAGAACTCCCATGACCAACAAAAAATACTGGGTTTGGTGGGCAGTATCCTTTGGTTTTGGAGTTGTAGTTCACCTACATCCAGAGATCAATGTGGACTCAAACAATGAGGGAGCCGAACCAAAATTGGCACGAATACTCAATATGTCCAAATGTGAATGCTGGTGGAGTTTGGGGAAAATAGAATCTTGACATTTGGGAGTTGTAGTTGCTGGGATTTATAGTTCAACTACTATCACAGAGCATGATGAATGGTATTGTGATAGTGTTGGACGATTTGGCTCTTTTAACTGTGATGATAATGTTTTAATGTGTATGGTGCTGATATTTTAATCGTGTTATGAAGTGGCATTGTGTTGTTATTGTATATTCTTTGTATGTTAACACATGTTGTGAATCGGTCCAAATCCCTCTTTGAAGGTGAGAGGGTCGGTATATAAAACCTCGAAATAAATAATAATAATAATAAATAATTCTGAACCCCACCGATAGAATTGGGCCAAACCTCCCACAAACCCCCATGTAGACCACAGCAACGCGTGGCAGGGGATGGCTAATAATAATAATAACAATAATAATAGCTGTCACTGCACGAGAGACAACTCCCATCCCCTTTGATTATCTGGGGATGATGGGGATTGCAATCTCATTGCACTTGTGGCCCTGAGGTTGGGAAAAGTTTAGAGGACATGAGATCTCCAAGCCTTGCATGCAAGGTTGCTTTCACCCAATTGGTAGGCTGCAGCACCGCAGCTGGAGAACCCACTGGGTGCGCCACTCACCTGCTTCAAAAGGATGAGAGCCAGAACAGCGCAGATCGTGAAGAAGGAGGCCACCACCATCATGATGATGGCCACAGGCAAGCTGTAGCCAATTTCAGAGAGAGCTGCAATCCAGCCGCTGGAATGGAAGGAGACACAAGAAACACGGCCGTGAGCAGAGAAAGGGCCAAGGAGGCCGGGGGCCAAGGAGGCCGGGGGCCAAGGACAGAGGCCGTCTCCATCGGAACGCAGATCCCAACAGTGACTGGGCTGCTGTGAGTTTTCCGGACTGTTTGGCCATGTTCCAGAAGCATTCTCTCCTGACGTTTTGCCCACATCTATGGCAGGCATCCTCAGAGGTTGTGAGGTCTGTTGGAAACTAGGCAAGTGAGGTTTATATATCTGTGAAATAATGTCCAGGGTGGGAGAAAGAACTCTTGTTTGCTTGAGACAAATGTGAATGGCCTTGCAGCTTCAAAGCCTGGCTGCTTCCAGCCTGGGGGAAGCCTAAGTTAAGATGGACTGGAAAGGAAAGGAGGAAAATTCAAGGGTGCAGAGAAGCCTGCCATAGATGTAGGTGAAACGTCAGGAGAGAAAGCTTCTGGAACATGGCCAAGCAACCCAGAAATCTTTTGGGTATCACCCCCTCTCCTATTTATGAAGCAGGGATGGGAATCAATTCCCTCAAATGAACAGGGTTGCTGTGAGTTTTCCGCGATGTATGGCTGTGGTCCCAAAGCATTCTCTCATGACGTTTCGCCCGCATCTATGGCAGGCATCCTCAGAGGTTGGGAAGTCTGTTGGAAAGTAGGACAAGTGGTGTGTGTCTGGTTTATGCCTCACCCCCTATCAACCCCAGAGATCCCTCCGTTCTGAGGACCAAGATTTGTTGGAAATTCCCAGTGTCAAGACCTTGTGTCTAACAGCAACCATACGCAGAGCCTTTACAGCAGTGGCACCATCACTCTGGGATACTCTGCGACCTGAAGTCCGTGCCTTGCGGGACTTACCAGCTTTCCGCAGGGCATGTAAGACATATCTGTTTCGACAGGCCTTTGATCTTTGATATTGTTGTTTTTAAATTGTTTTAAATTGTTTTTAAATTGTGTTAGATTTTAGCCTGTTCTTGTAAGCCGCTCCGAGCCCCAGGGGAGTGGCAGCATATAAGTTTGAATAATAAATAAATAAATGTGTGTGTGTGTGTGTGTGTGTATAGATAGATAGATAGATATAGATAGATACCTGTGGAATAATGTCCAGGGTGGGAGAAAGAACTCTTTATCTGTTTGAGGCAAGTGTGAATGCTGCAATTGATCACCTTCATTAGCATTGGATAGCCTTACAGCTTCAAGGCTTGAAATTGAAAAGCTAATCATTGCAGCCAATTGAAACATTCACAGGCAGGAAGCAACCAAGCATCGAAGCTGCACGGCTATTCAGTGCTACTCAAGGTGATGAATTGCAACATTCACACTTGCCTCCAACAGGCAAGAGTTCTTTCTCCCACTCTGGACTTCCCACAGATATGCAAACCCCACTTCAATAGTTTCCAACAGACCTCACAACCTCTGAGGCTGCGTGCTATAGATGAAGGTGAAAACGTCAGGAAAGAATGCTTCTGGAAGTTGGCCAGACAGCCTGGAAAACTCACAGCATGTGTATGTGTATGAATTCCCTCAAATGCAGAATGAACAGGGTTGCTGTGAGTTTTCCGGGCTATCTGGTCATGTTCCAGAAGCATTCTCTCCTGACATTTCGCCCACATCTATGGCAGACATCCTCAGAGATTGTGAGGATGCCTGCCGTAGATGTGGGTGAAACATCAGGAGAAAATGTTTCTGAAACATGACCAGACAGCCCCGAATTCTTTTGGGTATCACCTCCCTCTTCTATTTATGAGACAGGGATGGAAATCAGTTCCCTCAAATGCAGAATGAACAAGGTTGCTGTGGGTTTTCCGGGCTGTATGGCCGTGTTCTGGAAGCATTCTATCCTGACGTTTCACCCACATCTATGGCAGACATCCTCAGAGGTTGTGAGGATGCCTGCCATAGATGTGGGCAAAACCTCACAACATCTGAGGATGCCTGTAGTAGATGTGGGCAAAATGTCAGGAGAGAATGCTTCTGGAATATGGCCAGACAGCCCAGAAAACTCACAGCAACCCAGACAAGAGTCCTTTCTCTCACCCTGGACATCATTCCACAGATATATAATCCCCACTTTCCGTGTTTCCAACAGACCTCACCACCTCTGAGGATGCCTGCCATAGATGTGGGCGAAACGTCAGGAGAAAATGCTTCCGGAAGTTGGCCAGGCAGCCTGGAAAACTCACAGCAACCATGTGTATATTTATTCAGAAGGGAAACTGTTCAAGGAGTGCAAATCCAGGACCACAGCCCATGAAAGCCAAAGGCAGATGGCTAGGACCTATATATAAAGTCCATGATCTTGATTGTAGATGAAAATGCAAAAAGAAGAAAAGGCTCAGCTGGCAGTGGACGCTTCTCCAATGTTCAGGATTGCAGACGGTGAAAAGCACAACCCTGAAGCCAGGCTAAAAAAAAAAGTGTACGTAAGCAGAAGAGGTGCTCCGTGCACGACTCGATGTGACAGGCCAGAAAGTGGCACGGCCCAGGGCTTTCTCTCCAGGTTATGTACAAAAACAGACGCCAAACTCCACAGCTTTTCTCACCCAAAGGGTAAGAACTGCCACGTCCAATACTCAAGAGTCTTCACATCCACAGGAATGAAAGATGATGGATTATTTTGGGACCTTGTCGGTCTTCTGATCAAGGCTGAGACAGAAAAGGCCCAGACGTGTTGCGGACACAGCCTTTCGAAGCTGGACGGGTGCAAATTCTGGTCTGGCGTCTAGCACAGATCTGGGCGCCCCAACTTTTACAGCCTCGGATCTCACCTGAGCAGGGCCAGGGAAGTTTGGGAGGATTCAGACTGTCAACTTTAGATTGTTTAAACCAGGCATAGGCAAACTTGGGCCCTCTCTCCAAGTGTTTTGGACTTCATCTCCCACAACTCCTAACAGCACCAGGCTCCTTCCTTTCCCCCTCAGCCTGCTGTTAGCCCCAGCTTCTGCCAACCTAGCAGTTCAAAAATTTGCAAATGTGAGTAGATCAATAGCTGATCTATTAAGCTGAGGGGGAAGAGGCCTGAGGCTGTTAGGAATGGTGGGAGTTGAAGTCCAAAACACCTGGAAGGAGGGCCCAAGTTTGCTCATGTCTGTTCGAGTGTCAACATTAGGGTGAATGAGCTTCAGCAATTACACTTGCTGCTGGCTGAAGTACCTAGCCTGGCCTTCAAAACAATTACAGTTGCTGCTGGCTGAAGTACCTAGCCTCGCCTTCAAAACAAACACACAGGGGAAAGGAAAGGGCTTGAGGCTGTTAGGAATGGTGGGAGTTGAAGTCCAAAACACCCGGAGGGCTCGTGTTTGCCCATGCCTGTTATATACACACAATATGGCTGAAGAAGAAAATTCTCAGTAGAGTCAGAAAACAGGGAAGAAAAGAAGAACAGAAAAGCATGCAAGGAGAGGCATAGCAAGGTAAGGAGGCACGAGGAAAAGTTAGGAGGAGATACATGCCTTTCAGGCGAAGGACTTAAGAGCAGGAGGTATGGAGTTAGAGGCGCGTCAGCTGGGATCTGTGGAAGCCGCAGATCAGGAGAGAAAAGAGAGAAGCTTTAGAGAAGAGAGAATGGCTGCCAAAGCCTTGGAGGCAAGTGCAAAGAGCAGGCCTTGCTCTCCGGCGCTGCTTTGTGTCCTCAAAGGCCACCGTTGAGCTTACCTGTCCCCCCAGCCAGGGATGCCCACAGCTTGGATGATGTAGATGGCTATCTGGCAGAAGAACACAAAGAAGAAGACGAAGAAGCTGAAGGAACTGTCGGATCTGCCAGGAGGAAGATGGAAAGTGTCGCATTAGATTTGGCTTAGAAGGAAACCACAAAAGTGTCAGAAATATTAAAAATTAAGTAGGTATTTTTAATTACAAAAATGTGAGTCAAGCACATTAAGGGATACAATCACTCAGCAAAAGCTGCACTTCTATATGAGCAGGTGTGTCGGTAGCTTAGTAACCCTCGCTCTGTGAGAGACCTCAGTGTTAGTTCATTCTCAGTCTGTGAGAGCACTCTGTGGGAGAAAGGCCTCAGTGTGAGAAGCCCCAGGTTGAAGGCCATCATGTCTGAAGGCTGCTGTGTGTAAAAAGCTACTGTGTGAAGCTCCTCTGTACTTCTATATAAGCAGGCGTGCCTGTAGCTTAGTAGCCCTCAGTCTGTGAGAGGCCTTGGTGTGAGAAGGCCTCAGTGTGAAAAGCTTCAGTGAGAGAAGTTCCAGGTTGAAGGCCATCATGTCTGAAGGCTGCTGTGTGTAAAAAGCTACTGTGTGAAGCTCCTCTGTACTTTTACATAAGCAGGCGTGCCTGTAGCTTAGTAGCCCTCAGTCTGTGAGAGGCCTTGGTGTGAGAAGGCCTCAATGTTAGTTCGTTCTCAGCCTGTGAGAGGACTCTGTGGGAAAAAGGCCTCAGTGTGAGGTAGGCCTCAGTGTGAGAAGCTTCAATGAGAGAAGCCCCAGGTTGAAGGCCATCGTGTGTGTGTGTGTGTAAAAAGCTACTGTGTGAAGCTCCTCTGTAAATTCAGTGTGAGAAAAGGCTCTGTGAGAGCGAAGCTGTTTTACCTGCAGGAGAAAGAAGCCCAGCGTGGAAGCAAAGAAGCAAGTATAATTATTTCTGTTATGGAAACCTTGAATGTTGGCTTCTTTATTCTGGATTTTAACTCGACGTGTTTAATTGTTCAGAGTATTAAAATACGAAAGGCTGGTTATCTCTCTCTCTCTCTATATATATATATATGCTGCGTTTGCTTTTAGTGACATTATAACCCGTCACTTATATCTATTGTTTCATGCCTGGAATTCCTCTGTTTTCTGAGGGCCACAGCAACACGTTGCAGGGGACAGCTAATTACCTTATAAAGCCCAATACGCTTCGGGTTCAACATATCTTCGAGACCACATCTCCTTCTATGAAGCGGCACGGGCACTAAGATCTACCAGGGAGGCCCTCCTCTCAGTCCCACCTCCATCTCAAGTGTGGTTGGTAGAGATGAGAGAGAGGGTCTTCTCAGTACTGTCCCCCCTGACTTTGGAATTTCCTCCCAAGAGAGATTAGGCTACCCCACACTCTCCAAGCCTTTCGTACACAATTGAAAACATGACCATTTTGACAAGCCTTTGACCATGTTTCGAATCCCTTAATCAACATATTTGAGGACTTAAAGACAATTTCACCGTGCACTTTATGAGAGTGATATTGATTGCAGTTGTTTTATTCCTATTGTTGCATCTTACTTAATTTAACCTTGGGGGTGGGGGGAGTTGTGATGTTTATGTTGATTGTTATTGCTTTTGTATTATTTTTGAGGGTGTTCTGATTGCACTTTTCCTTCCTGGCAGAAGGGGGTTGTGATGTTTATGTTGGCTGTTATTGCTTTTGTATTATTGTCTTTGCACTTTTTATATTTTGCGTGTTTGCACCTTTGTGAGGGCTTTGTGAGCCACCCCGAGTCTCTCTGGGAGATGGTGGCGGCGCATAAATAAATAAATAAATAAATATTATTATTATTATCTGTCGAGGGTGCTCTGATTGCACTTTCCTTCCTTGCAGAAGGGGGTTGTGATGTTTATGTTGGCTGTTATTGCTTTTGTATTATTGTCTTTGCACTTTTTGTATTTTGCATGTTTGCACCTTAGTGAGGGCTTTGTGAGCCGCCCTGAGTCTCTCTGGGAGATGGTGGCGGGGTATTATCAATAATAATTAGGGGGGTTGTGATTTTTTTGTTGGCTGTTATTGCTGTTATTGCTTTTGTATTATTGTATTTTTGTATTTTGCATGTTTGCACCTTTGTGAGGGCTTTGTGAGCCACCCCAAGTCCCTCTGGGAGACTGTGGCGGGGTATAAATAAATAAAAATAATTATTATTATCTGTCAAGGGTGCTTTGCATGTTTGCACCTTTTTGAGGGCTTTGTGAGCCGCCCCGAGACTCTCTGGGAGACGGTGGCGGAGTATAAATAAATTATTATTATTATTATTATTATTATTACCACCACCTGTCAAGGGTACTTTGATTGCACTTTTCCTTCTTGCAGGTTGTGCTATGATAACAACACCTAAGTAAAAACTCTATGTCTGAGGAACAGGGGAACCCCTCCACTCCAAACCCCGTTTCCCTTTTCAACACGGGACGCGGTACTTGCCTGAACGCCTTGTAAATGGGCCGATACCAACAGAGGAAAGCACACGGGGTGAACAAGATGAACCACAGGATGGACAGGCCGAAGTCAACTCCTCTGTCCGTTTTAACCGTGAACCAGGCCAGGCAGGCAAGCAGGTTTAGGAGAAGGGTGATGGAGTGAACTGCCCAGGATTGGAAAACAACAACATTAATCAAGGAACAACCACAACAACAACAACTTCTCTGTAAAGCTCTGAATTGTCCATGAAACTATGTAAGTAGAGCATGGGGTGGCTTGGCCCCCCAAGTTCAATTATTTTCTCTAAAATAGTGGTTCTCAACTTGTGGGTCCCCAGGTGTTTTGGCCTACAACTCCCAGAAATCCCAACCAGTTTAGGATTTCCAGGAGTTGAAAGCCAAAACACCTGGGGGCCCACAGGTTGAGAACCACTGCTCTAAAACATTTCTCATGTCTGAAAAGGCTATCTAGGGAGGCTGGGGGCCTTTCTGCCATGTCTTGGGGTGCATTAAAGGCTGAGGAAGCTCATTAGAACAGAGGTAAAGCTTTTCATCTAGATGGTAGAAGAATCACCTCCACCAAACCTGTGTCACTGGGTCAATCAGCAGTATCTTTGTGTTGCATAAATTAGTATAAAACCGATAAAAATAAAAGGCACGCAGGTGGCTAAAAATCGTTTGACCAAAAACGGGCAACAGCAACGGCATTGTCTGTAGCCTCCAACAATTCTTCCTCTGTACGTGAGGCAGGGCATAGTGGACAAGCACACAGATGCGGAGTTGTCTGTTCTGCTCCACAGTCACACAAGGTGTGGGATTCTTTTAGGTATCCTTGTTAAGGGAGCATAGAGGAGGATCAAAGAGAGAGCAAAATTAAAATTGCCATAAATTGCCAAGAAGACTCGAAATGCTAATTTGATTACCCACTCAAAACAAATTGTAATTTTCTGTAATTGACAATGTTTTTATTATTCATATCAGCATGCTAATAACCTCGGTTTTGTGCCTTCTGTTCCTTGCTTTAAACATACTCAACTGCACTTTTAATCCCCCCCCCAAAAAAAATTACATGTAATTTCCTGTGATTGCAAATGTTTTTAATATTCGTATCAGCATGCTAATAACCTTGATTTTGTGTTTTTGCGTTAAACATACTCTTTTGTGTCCTTGCGTTAAACATACTCTTCTGTACTTTTAATTCCCCTCCAAAAAATTTGCATATAATTTTCTGTAATTGACAATATTTTTATTATTATTTGTGTGACCATGATAATAACCTCAGTTTTGTGTTTTCTGTTCCTTGCTTTAAACGTAGTCTTTTGTACATTTTATGGCTGATTGTCATGGACTAGTACAATAAACATACTGATGAAAAGATACAACAGAGGTAAGCACAGGCCAAATTTTGTGGTTCCTTTCAAGATGGCAACAGGAGATGACTTAAAAGTTCTGAAATACAAGGAAAACACTGGGTTGTTGTAGGCTTTTTGGGCTGTATGGCCATGTTCTAGAGGCATTCTCTTCTGATGTTTCGCCTGCATCTATGGCAAGCATCCTTAGAGGTAGTGAGGTCTGTTGGAACTAGGAAAATGGGTTTATGTATCTGTAGAATAATGTCCAGAGTGGGTCAAAGGACTCTTGTCTGCTGGAGCTAGGTGGGAATGTTTCAACTGACCACCTCGATTAGCATTTGATGGCCTGGCAGTTGTTTGGTGTGGCTTGTTAGTGCCTGGGGCTATCTTTTGTTGAGAGGTGATTAGCTGTCCCTGCTTGTTTCCTCTCTGCTGTTTTGCTGTTGTAATTTTAGAGTTTTTTTTAATACTGGTAGCCAGATTTTGTTCATTTTCATGGAAATTTCCTCCTTTCTGTTGAAATTGTCCACATGCTTCTTGTGGATTTCAATTGCTTTTCTGTGTAGCCTGACATGGTGGTTGTGAGAGCGGTCCAGCATTTCTGTGTTCTCAAATAATAATCTGCTGTGTCCAGGTTGGTTCATTGTGGCCTCTGCTATGGCTGACTTCTCTGGTTGAAGTAGTCTGCAGTGCCTTTCGTGTTCCTTGATTCGTGTTTGGGCAATGCTGCTGTGTTTGGTGGTTCCTATATAGAACATTCACATCTTCCTCCAACAGACAAGAGTTCTTTGTCCCACCCTGGTCGTTCCACAGATATATAAACCCAATTTTTCTGGTTTCAACAGACCTCACTACCTCTGAGGATGCTTGCCATAGATGCAGGCGAAACGTTAGGAGAGAATGCCTCTAGAGCATGGCCATATAGCCCGAAAAAACTTACAACAACCCAGTGATTCCGGCCATGAAAGCCTTCGACAATACAAGGAAAACAAATAAAGAGAGGATATGGTCCCAGAAGGGGATGGAAAGGGAAACTGCTTTCCATTTCCCTCCAGAGGTGCTCATGGAGGCTGGATCTACACTGCCATACAATTTCTGATTATAATCTGCTTTGCACTAGATTATATGAGTCCACACTGACATACAATCCAGTGCAAAGCAGATAATCTGGATTCAGAGACCGGAAGGAGTTCACAACACTGGAAGATGTTTCTAGCCTTGTCTAGTCCCTGAGGGCAGCAACGTGAAGCAAAGCCACAGCCTCTTCTTGTACTTACACATCCATAGGTAATACAGCATCTTGCACGTTCGCTGATAGTCAGCAGGGATGTCTGCAGCGAAGTCTTGATAGAAGCACGGCTTAATGGGAAACTGTTTTGGAAGCGGGGGCCAATTGTTCTGCCGCGCTGCAGAGAGAGAGGAACAAGCCCTTTCCCAGATCTGTTGCCCAACTGTTTCTTTGCACATGGAGTTGCATTGATGGAATTATGGGATAATAGAATTACAGAGCGCTCTAAGCCTCTTCTCAGAGAAGAGAAAAGCACAACACTGACAACACTGAACTTAGAATTATAGGTTTGGAAGAGACCACATGGTCCATCCAGTCCAACTCCATTCTGCCAAGAAGCAGGAAAATTGCATTCAAAGCACCCCTGACAGATGGCCATCCAGCCCGTTTAAAAGCCTCCAAAGGAGGAGCCTCCCCCACACTTCCAGGGCAGAGAGTTCCAATGCTGAACAGCTCTCACAGTCAGGAAGTTCTTAAAATCATAGAATGATAGAGTTGAGAGAGACCTCATGGGCCATCCAGTCCAACCCCATTCTGCCAAGAAGCAGGAAAATTGCATTCAAAGCAACCCCGACAGATGGCCATCCAGCCTCTGTTTAAAAGCCTCAAAAGGAGGAGCCTCCCCCATACTCCAGGGCAGAGAGTTCCACTGCTGAACAGCTCTCCCAGTCAGGAAGTTCTTCCTCATGTTCAGATGGAATATCCTTTCTTGTAGTTTGAAGCCATTGTTCCATTGCGTCATAGTCTCCAGGGCAGAAGAAGACAAGCTTGCTCCCGCCTCCCTGTGACTTCCCCTCAAATATTTATGCCTGGCCCACATCATATCTCCCCTCAGCCTTCTGTTCTGCAGGCTAAACATGCCCAGCTCTTTAAGCCACTCCTCATAGGGCTTGTTCTCCAGACCCTTGATCATTTTAGTCACCCTTGTCTGGACACCTTCCAGCTTGTCAACATTTCCCTTCAATTGCGGTGCCCAGAATTGGACACAGTATTCCAGGTGTGGTCTAACCAAAGCAGAATAGTAGCATCACTTCCCTGGATCTAGATACTAGACTCCTCTTGATGCAGGCCAAAATCCCATGGGCTTTTTTAGCCGCTGAATGACATTGTTGGCTCATGTTTAACTTGTCTGGCCAGAGTGAAGACAGAGGGGAGCAGAAAACAGTTCCATCTTGTCTTTACTAATAATATAATATAATATATTATATATATATATATAATATTTATAATATTATAATGTAATAGAGTATAATACTAGTAATAGTAATGCAATATTATAATTATATATTTACATTACATGTAACATTACTAATAATATTACAATATAATGGTATAGTGCAATATAGTAATATACAATATTGATATTGTACTATGCCAATAATTTAATATATTGTATGAAAATATATCTTGTAAGCCGCGCTGAGTCCCCTTCGGGGTGAGAAGGGTGGCACAGAAATGTCGTAAATAAATAAATAAGGACTCCAAGATCTTTTTCAAATGTCCTGCTCTCGAGCCAGGCCTCATCGTCTCCCATTCTGTCTCTTTGCATTTCGTTTTTTCTGCCTAAGTGGAGTATCTTACATTTGTCCCTGTTGAACTTCATTGTGTTAGTTTTGGCCAATCATCTCTCTCATCTGTGAAGATCATTTTGAATTCTCCTCCTGTCTTTTGGAGTATTGGCTCTCCCTCCCATTTGGTGTTGCCTGCAACTTTGGTGATCCTGCCTTCTAACCCTTCATCTCAGTCATTAATAAAGATGTTGACCAAAACTTGGCCCAGGAGGGAACCCTGCGGATGGCACTTCACTCGTCACTTCTTTCCAGGATGAAGAGGAGGAAGCCTTGGGGAGAATCAACCTTTGGCTTTGTTTGCTTAACCAATTAAACCAAACATTCACTTAACCAACAATTACAACCTTCATGAATGAAGGCTGTGATTTTTAAGAAAAGGATTAGAAGATAAATATCAAGCAAGAGGTTATATAGAGAGGAAGTATAGCGTTTATACCATTCCAAAAAAGGGAATGACTTGTCAAACTTCCGTACAGTGGCCCTTATTTCTCATGCCCGGAAGGGAATGCTCAAGATCCTGCAAGGAAGACTCCACAAGACATGGAGAGAGAGTGGCCAGATGGACAAGCTGGGTTCAGAAAAGGCAGAGGAAAGAGAGACCCAATGGGCAATATCCGGATGCTGGAGAATGGAGGAAGGCAGGGAGTTTCAGAAAAACATCTATTTCTGTTTCATTGACTATTCCAAAGCCTTTGACTGTGTGGATCATCATAAACTGTGGCAAGTTCTTGGTGGGATGGGGATACTAAATCACAGTATCTCTCTCCTGAGGAATCTGTATCATGACCAAGTAGCAACAGTCAGAACTGACCATAGAACAACAGACTGGTTCAAGATTGGGAAAGGCATACGGCAGGGTTGTCTACTCTCCCCCAACCTATTCAACTTGTATGCAGAACACATCATGCAACGTGCGGGGCTTGACGAATGCAAGGCTGGGGTGAAAATGGCTGGAAGGAACATTAACAACTTTAGATATGCAGAAGACACTGCTTTGATGGCCGAAAGCGAGGAGGAGCTGAGGTGCCTTCTCACCAAGATGAAAAAAGAAAGCGCAAAAGCTGGGTTGCAGCTAAACATTAAAAAAAAAAAAACCAAGATTATGGCAACAAGAATGATTGACAACTGGGAAATAGAAGGAGAAAACATGGAGGCCGTGACAGACTTTGTATTTCTAGGTGCAAATATGAGTGCAGATGCAGACTGCAGCCAGGAAATCTTGAGACGCTTCCTTCTTGGGAGGAGAGCAAGGACCTATCTCGGTAAGATAGTGAAGAGTAGAGACATCACACTGGCAATGAAGATCCGCATAGTTAAAGCAATGGCATTCCCAGTAGACACCTACGGATGTGAGAGCTGGACCAGAAGGAAGGCTGAGCGAAGTTAGAGATATGCTTTTGAACTGTGTTGCTGGAGGAAAGTGCGGAGTGCATTGGACCACGAGAAGATCCAACCAATCCATACTTCGGGAAATAAAGCCCGACTGCTCATTGGAGGGAAGGAGATGAGAGGCCAAGATGAAATCCTTTGGCCACATCATAAGAAGAAAGGAAAGTTTGGAGAAGAGAATGATGCTGGGGAAAATGGAAGGAAAAAGGAAGAGGGGGCGACGAAAGGCAAGATGGATGGATGGGATCCTTGAAGTGACTGGCTTGACCTTGAAGGAGACCCTGGGGGGTGGTGACGGCCGACAGGGAGCTCTGGCCTGGGCTGGTCAATGAGGTCACCTAGAGAAGACAATGATGCTTGGTAAAATGGAAGGAAAAAGGAAGAGGGGCTGACGAAAGGCAAGATGGATGGATTGACCTTGAAGGAGCTGGGAGTGGCCACGGCCGACAGGGAGCTCTGGCCTGGGCTGGTCCATGAGGTCAAAAAGAGTCGGAAAAGACTGAATGAATGAACAACAACAAAGCTTTTTCTTCACTGCCTAGAACAATTGGTTTGAAAATTCATAGCTACACAAGCTCCCTGTTTATTCCTTCGTCTGATTTGTTATTGTTATGTGTATGTTTTGGTTTAACGGTTGCATCAGTTTAGTCTGGTTGTTTCAGTTGTTGCATAAAGTAGCTTTTAAAATCAAAATGCAAATAAATATATTTGAATACAATCCAATGGAGGACTCAATCAAGAGTGTCCCTGGCGCTACTCACGGTTGAAGCCAGCAGCGCTATTCTGCAACTCCCGTTCCTTTCTGTCCAATTCCGCTGCTTTTCTTTCCAGTTCCTCTTGCTGCTGAAGAAGCCCCGCTTGGGCGGCTGAGGCAACTGCCTGCATGCCAGTAAAAAACAACAACAAATATGAGCTCAAAAAGGGAGAATCATGGTCTCTTTTAAGAAGGAGATTTAGCAGACCTATAGAAGGCGAGGTGTTGGTGCAGGGCCACTCCCAGGGCTGTTTACCATTGGCTGGGCCAGCTACACATGCTGGGAATTGCATTAAACATCCAGAAGGCTATGGGATTTCCAATCCTGTTGTATTATTAAAGGGACAGGAGTGAAAAGGGAGCATCTCTGAGCAAAGAGGTTTTACTTTTTTCTGTTAAAGGAAAATCCAGGGCTTCCCAATTGTCACATTTAAGTTTTTAAATCATTTTATGTACATGCAGCCCGCTCTTTGTCCTTATGTTTGGTTCTTATGTTTTATGTCTATTGTTTATATGCTTTGATGTTTTATACTTTAATGTTATGCTGTTTATTTTATTGTAATATTTTATTTTTTTGAATTGTAATCTGTTGTTTGGGCTTGGCCCCATGTAAGCCGCTCGGAGTCCCCATTGGGGGAGATGCTGGTGGGGTATAAATAAAGTTTATTAATTATTATTATTATTATTATTATTATTATTATTATTATTATTATTATTATTTATAGCAAGGGTCCTCAAACTAAGGCCCGAGGGCCGAATACAACCCTTCAAGGTTATTTACCTGGCCCTCGCTCAGGGTAAATCTGAGTCTGAAACTATTTGAAAGCACATAACAATAACAACAATCCTGTTGTGACTCAGCTTGACTCTGAGTCTGAAGCTGAGCTGTTTAGGCCTTCTGAGCCTGATTTTGGGCCTTCTGAGCCTGATTTCCTGCACGATGACGAGGAGGCTGATGGTTTACAGATTCCTGTACATGTTTCAGATGGGGCTTATAGTGTGGCTGCTGAAGGAGAAACAACAAGTCAGTTCCCCAGGGAAAGGAATGTTCCTGCAGTTAGAGAGACTGATAGTGAGAGTGAAATCCCTCACGGCCAGGTGGAGGATCCGTCCCAGCTGGACCCAGATAAGGGGTTGCATAGCCTTGCAGATAATGAATTAATGAGCAGACCAGATCATTTGCAGTTAAGGCTTCGGAGAAGCACTCGCTTGGCCAGCAAGCGAGAAGCCAAAGGTGCCCAAGGTCAATGCAATGCTTTCATGTTCGCAAAGGGTATTTAGTCTTATAGCTGACAGGCAGTTGTTGTCAGTCCAACATTGCTCTTCCCATGTTAACTTCTGGAGATTTTCCTTGGCTTTTCGCAGCACGCTTCTGGTTTCCTGAGTCTAGGATTTGGGTCTTGTTTTCAACTGTTTACCATGGACTTTTGTTTGACCATTGCTAAGGGATTATGCTTCATGTTTTTGCCTTGGGAACTTTGCCTTTACATTTAAGTCTCTGTTTTGCCTATGGACCTATTGCATTTCTCTTTCTTTGTTTTGATTTTGCTTTTCTCAATGAACTACAAAAACCTACAGCCTTGGTGTGGTGGTGTCTGGAGCAAGGTGAAAAGTACCCTGACTTGCAACAAATCCTATTTTATCAGCCAAAAGCAGGCCCACACTTCCCATTGAAATACGCATTGACCCTTGGCCGACTTGATTTCAAAGAGCATTTAGCCTTCTGGCTGACAAACAGGAGTTGTCAGTTCAACGTGGCTCTTTCCATGCAAACTTCTATGGCTTAACCTTGGCTTTAAGCAGCTTGCTTTTGGCTTCCTGGATCTGGGATTTTGGGTCTTGTGTTTCACTGTTTTACCATGGACTCTTGTTGGATCATTGCCTAAAGGATTATGCTTCATGTTTTTGCCTTTGGATCTTGGGAAATGTGTTTTGCATTTAAGCCTTTGTCCTGCTTATGGAACATTTGCATTTCTTATTCTATGTTTGACTTTGCTTTTTTCTCAATAAACTACATAATCTACAGCTCTGGTGTGGTGTTTTGGGAGCAAGGTGAAACTACCCTGAGTTGCAACATAACCTTGGCCTGGCAAAGGCCTTGCTGTACATTGAAACCTTGTTTTCCTACCCTCCCTTTTTTTACCTGGTGGCTACTCTGAAAGTTGCTGTCTTCTCCAAGTAACCTCTGCCTCTCTGAACCTTCCGAATGTGCCGAGATGAACTTAGGCGTCAGGTACTTGCTGGCCTGTCTAAGCAGCAGCTGCAACACACAACTAAGCTCCGTCTAAGCTCACAGCATGGGGTCCACTTACTCGACACAACTAAACCTACATTACCAATACTCTTTAATGGGTTAAGGAAAGTGATACAACCCATAGGAATGGGGCGGAAGGAAGAGAAGAGACATACATGGCCAAACCAAGGCTATGCCTCATGCGTGTCTCATGCCTTCACGGGTCTTTTGAGATTTGATTCACCTCCAGTTTTATCTCAGCAGAAAGCAAGACAGGGAACAGTACTGGCGTCCCTTGATTTTCAATGACCTGCTCTTTGGACTTCATTACACTGGAGTATTCAAAGTGTATGTTTCCCACTTGAAATCCTCTGGCTGTCTCCTGCAAACCCTTCCTAGGGTTTGTAGTTTAGGGAGCGGCCTTTAAAATGCACCCACAAACCCCAGAATTTCGAAGGAGGCAGCAACAGAAGGTAACATAATACTAACTGGCTGGGTGTCAGCTGCATTAAGATCACTTCTGACCGAAAGGTCATGAGTTCAAAACCAGCCTGCGTCAGAGTGAGCTTCCAACCAATTGTGTAGCTTGTTGTTGACCTTTGAACCCCAAAGACAGTTGCATCTGTCAAGTAGGAAAATTAGGTACCACCTATGTGTGGGGAGGCTAATTTAACTAATTTACGAGACCATAAAAAAGACTCCAGCAAAGCATGCGGGGAATGCGGAAGTTCTTTATCAGCGTCGCAGATGGACGATGAAAGTGACGGCTCCCCTGGCGGCCAGAAAAAGTTAAATAGCCTCTGACTGTCTGTCAATATCTGTTGTGTGTCTTTGGCATTGAATGTTTGCCATATATGTGTACATTGTAATCTGCCCTGAGTCCCCTGTGGGGTAAGAAGGGTGGAATATAAATACTGTTAATAAATAAATAAACAAACAAAAACAACACTGTCCTGCTTCTTCAAATCCCTGTGGGATACAATCCAGTATTAAGAGGAGAGCTCTACCTGGGGAGTGGGTTCCACAGAGGGCTGCAACACGGCGGGCTGCGAAGCCCCACTGGGCTGCGTTGCTGGAATCGTCTGAGTGGCATTTGTCTGGAGGAGAAAAGCATTAGAAAATTGTGAACAGAGTTGTCAAAATAGCTTCCGTCCCACCGCCATGAAAATCTAGCACCAAAACCAAGACCTATGGCACATAAAAGTTACCACATATACTCGCGTATAAGCTGAGTTTTTTCAGCCCCTTTTTTAGGATGAATAAGCCCCCCATAGCTTATACTTGAGCCAAAGTTATTTATTATTTTACTCTGTTATTATGATTATGATTATTAGATTTACATTATTTTACTCTATTATTTTATTACATTTATTATTTTACTCTAGTATTATTATTACATTTATTAGGTTGGTAAAGGTAAAGGTTTTCCCCTGACATTAAGTCTAATCGTGTCCAACTCTGGAGTATGGTGCTCATCTCCATTTCTAAGCCGAAGAGCCGGTGTTGTCCGTATACACCTCCAAGGTCATGTGGCCACTGGCATGACTGTATGGAGCGCCATTATCTTCCCGCCGGAGCATTACCTATTGATCTACTCACATTTTGGCAAAAGCTGGGACTGACAGCGGAAGCTCACGCCACTCCCCGGATTCGAACCTGTTGTTGATGTGTTTTGAAATCGTGTAATGTAGTTTTCAAAGTGAGTGTTTGTGTGTTTAGAATGTAATGCAATGAAATGCAATGTGCCAAGTATAATTCCTGTGTCGAAAGGGTTAACTGGATCATGATGAGATCGGCATTCCTAGAGAGTCATAAATTTTAGTGCGGAGAGCGTATTGCATCGTATGTCATACCTCACTGTGGAATATAAGGAGGTGTGGACTAATTGCTGATAACAACGTGTTCTACTGAAAATGTGACTGCCGATTGAGATGAAAGCAAGTTTTACATTCTGCTTAGCTTCTAGTGTAAATAATGTATAATAAATTAACTGTTAAGACTACGGAGATGTGTTGCCTTGCCTTGCTGTGCTGAGATATACTCTATCACCTGTAACCTTTCGGTTCACAAGCTCAGCAGCTCAGCGCTTTAACCCACTGCGCCACCAGGGGCTCCAATTACAATTACATTTATTATTTTGCTCTATTTATTATTATCACATTTATTATTTTACTCTATTTATTATTATTATTATTATTATTATTATTATTATTATTATATCTATGATTTTACTCTTATTATTGTTATTAATACATTTACATTATTTTGCTCAATTATTTTATTACATTTATTATTTTACTCTATTATTATTGGAAGGATATATAAGCACATTTACATTGAAGAAGTTTAGAATAATAGCTTAATCAGAGTTGGACAGTCTTACCTTAAATTACTGTTTTATGTAAATATTCAAAAGCATTTAATCTACTGATGTCTCAATTAATGTCATTTTATTGGTATCTATTTTTATTCTGAAATTTACTAGTAGCTGCTGCATTTCCTACCCTTACACTCAAGCCAATACGTTTTCCCAGTTTTTTGTGTTAAAATTGGGTGTCTCGGCTTATATTCGGGTCGGCTTATACTTGAGTATATACGGTAACAACTGTAAGTAAGTAAACTTTATAATGGTTGATGACCAGATCATAACAGGGGACCCAGTCCTGTACATCTGTATCAAACCCAAGGGGTTACATCCTTGATTATGCGGCAACAACGGTTATATGCCCCCTCCTCTCCAATGGTTCAGGATGTCAACCACAGCTCTTCTCCTGGCTTTATCCTCACAACAATCCTTTCGTGTTGTGCCATTTGAGATTGTAAGCCTGTCTAGTCCTGGCTGTATGTAAGCTGTTCTGGCAAGCTCTTGGATTGAGGAGCATGGCAGAAAAAATAACAACTACTTGTAAATAGGCACGCCATTGCATAACTGGCCTTTGCACCGTCAACATAAACTCAACATCCAGCTTCTAGCAAAGAGGGGGGCTTTTCTTCAGACACGAGAAGGTCAGAAACCTTGAAGGTTAACTAATAATCTGCTCACCCAACACAAAACCCTCTGCAACCCAATGGCCTTGTTTTCATGCCCAACCGGCAAACATTACACAATGTCTTCCAGAAGAGAGATGGAGCTGCTGAAGTAAACTATCTGTGCTAACGATTATGCATCTGCAATGACAGACAACTAGGTTTGCCTGCTCTTGCATATAGATTGGGGAAAGAGAATACTCTAAATAGTATCTGTTACTTACCGTATATACTCGAGTATAAGCCGACTCAAATATAAGCCAAGGCACCCAATTATACCACAAAAAACTGGGGAAATGTATTGACTCTAATATAAAAAATGAACACGTGATCTAATGGAGGGGAGACCAACCTCTGCCCGGACCAAGGCTGCCGGGGTACCCAGTGGGAGTCTCAGTAGTTTCTTAAGAAATGTGTTCTGGAGAGCCTCCAGTTTTGCTGTCTGAGACTCATCCCATCCACAGACAGCAGCACCATACAAAAACTGGGCTATAACTTTACTCTGAAATATTTTAAGGGCTGGGACAACTAGATGACCCCCTGCAGTGTTGTAGAATCTGAGCATTGCTCCAACAGATTTCAAAGCTACTGCTTTAGTGTGTTCTACATGGGGTTTCCAGGATAGTCATTCCGTAAAATGGATTCCAAGGTACTTAAATATAAGCCGAAGGTGGGAAATATAGCAGCGAATTGTAAATTTCAAAATAAAAATAGATACCAATAACATTACAGTAATTGAGGCATCAATGAGAAGGAACGAAAGAGAGAAAGAGGGAGGGAAAGAAGGAAGGGAAGAGACAAGGAAGGCTGGAACCAAAGAGCAAAGGAAGCGAGAAAAGAAACAGGTAGAGAAGGAAGAAAGAAGAAGGGAAAGAAAAAGAGGGAAGGAAAGAAAGAGGGAGGGAAGGAAGGAAAGAAAGAAAGAAGGAGAGAAAGAGGGAGTGAAGGCTGGCCACAGCAACGCGTGGCAGGTACAGCTAGTCCATATAAATAAAAATGTAATGTTCGTTTGTGGGATTAACATAACTCAAAAACCACTGGATGAATTGACACCAAATTTGGAGACAAGACACCTCTCAACAAGTGACCATCACTCATAAAAACACTGAAAAACAAAACTCTAAAACCCCTCCACAAAACTCCACCAAAATTGCCATGCCCCAAGGACAACCCACTAGGTACAAACTAATCCAGTCAGAAATCAAAACAACACAACCACACAAAAAACGGCAAAACAACTGAGCATGCGCACTGGCGCAAACTCCCTGGCGCGCGCACACACATGGCCCCTCACCCTCCCCCCCCGGCGCGGCACACACACGCGCGCGCGTGCGCACGGCCCCTCACCCCCCCGGCGCGGCACACACACACACGCGCGTGCCCCCTCTCCCCCCCGGCGCGGCACAGCGCGCGCGCGCGCCCCCCCCCCGGCGCGGCACACACACGCGCACACACGGCGCGCGCCCCCCCCCCCCCCCGGCGCGGCACACACACGCACGCGCGGCCCCCACCCCCCCTCCCCTCCTCCCTCTTACCCTCCTCACGTTACCTCCAAGTCACGCCCCCTTCTAAACCCATCCCCCCTCCCCTCCCCCTCCTCACGTTACCTCCAAGCCACGCCCCCTTCTAAACCCATCCCCCCTCCCCTCCTCCCTCTTACCCCTCACGTTACCTCCAAGCCCGCCCCCTTCTAAACCCATCCCCCCTCCCTCTCCCCTCCTCACGTTACCTCCAAGCCACGCCCCCTTCTAAACCCATCCCCCTCCCCTCCTCCCTCTACCCTCCTCACGTTACCTCCAGCCACGCCCCCTTCTAATCTGTCAAGGAAGAATCATAGAATCATAGAATCAAAGAGTTGGAAGAGACCTCATGGGCCATCCAGTCCAACCCCATTCTGCCAAGAAGCAGGAATATTGCATTCAAATCACCCCTGACAGGAGAGAAAGAGGGAGGGAAAGAAAGAAGGAAGGAAGGAATGAGGTAGAACAGGAAGAAAGGAGAGAAGGAGGGAGGGAAAGAAAGAAGGAAGGAATGAGGAGGGAAAGAAAAAGGAGGAAGGAAAGTTAGAGAAGGAAGGAGAGAAGGAAAGAAAAAAGGGAAAGAAGGAAGGAAAGAAGGAGCGAAGGAAGGGGGGAAGATGTAGAGAAAGAGGGAGGGAAGGAAAGATGGAAAGAGAGAAGGAAGAAAAGAGAGACTGCAGAAGAGAAAAAGGAAGAAGGAAGGAAAGAGGGAGCGAAGGAAGGGGATAAAATGTAGAGAAAGAGGGAGGGAAAGAAAGGGGGAAAGAGAGAAGGAAGAAAAGAGAGACAGCAGAAGAGAAAGAAAAAGGGGGAAGGAAGGAAAGCGATAGAGAAAGAAGGAAGGAGAGAAGGAAAGACAGGAAGGAAGGAAGGAAACAGGGAGTGAAGGAAGGAGGGAAAGAAGGGGAGATAGGGGGAAGGTTGGCCACAGCAACGCGTGGCGGGTACAGCTAGTCACTCATAAAAACACTGAAAAACACAGCAAAAGAGACTTAAGCCAAAAAACAAAAATTACATTACAACGCATGCACAAACTCATATACGCTCAACCACACAAATACACAAATATACACACACACTTATACACACAATACACAGACTGGGCCACAGCAACACATGGCAGGGGATGGCTAGTGTAAAAACCAACTGTCCAACTCTGATTCAATCATCATTCTGACCTTCTTCCATGTAAACGTGCTTACGTATCCTTCCAATAATAATAGAGTAAAATAATAAATGTACTACTACTAATATTAAAAATAATAAATGTAATAAAACAATAGTGTAAAATAACAATGTGACCCCAGGTATATGTATATAAATAAAAATGTAATGTTTGTTTGTGGGATTAACATAACTCAAAAACCACTGGACAAATTGACACCAAATTTGGACACAAGACACCTAACAACCCAATGTATGTCCTTCACTCAAAAAATTGATTTTGTCATTTGGGAGTTGTAGTTGCTGGGATTTATAGTTTACAATCAAAGAGCATTCTGAACCCACCAACAATGGAATTGAACCAAACTTGGCACACTGAACTTCCATGACCAACAGAAAATACTGGAAGGATTTGGTGGGCAGTGTCCTTTGGATTTGGAGTTGTAGTTCACCTACTTCCAGAGAGCACTGTGGACTCAAACAATGATGGATCTGGACTAAACTTTACACGTATACTCAATATGCCCAAATGTGAACACTGGTGGAGTTTGGGGGAAATAGAATCTTGACATTTGGGAGTTGTAGTTCACGGGATTTGTAGTTCACATACAATCACAGAGCATTCCGGACCCCACCAACGATAGAATTGGGCCAAAACTCCCACACAGAACAGCCATGTGGGCCAAAGCAACGCGTGGCAGGGGACAGCTAGTAAATGTAATAAAAATGAAATAGAGAAAAATAATAAACAACCTTGTCTTGAGTATAAGCCGAGGGGAGCTTTTTCATCCTAAAAAAGGTGCTGAAAAACTAGGTATATACTCAAGTATGTACAGTATTTCAAATGCCATTCTTCCAGTACACCTGGAAGGCGAAACATGCTAATGATCACAAAACTGATGCTGGCATTGCACTTACCAGCCGGGAACTCTCCGTAAAAGGATTGAATTCATCCAAGCCACCCTGCGTAGCATTTGTCAGCTGTGTGACTGCTGGATCCTAAAGAAAGGGAAAGAAGAGAATATTTAAACCTAAATCGACTTTCGAGAATGCACCAAAACCTGGGTATGCGCTCCACGTAGTTCAGACCTGCATAGCTGCTTCCTTATTTCTTAAGGCTGGATTTCCTCCTTAAGGAGATCAAAGCTCAGGGCCATCCCAGAAACACGAGGATGATCCTCCAAATCTTCACACAGCTTCTTAATGTGGAAGCAAAGCACCAAAGACACATGGCCCATCAGCCAGACTTCACTATTCTTTACAGAGAAGGCCTTATTTTATAGGAGTTACAATAGAAACAACAAAATAAGCCATGGTCCTTGTGCTGTCACGCGCTGGGTCTGTGAAAGAGTCTGTAGACAGGACGTGTTTTCTGAGTGGCCAACGGGATGCTGGGGTGCCTCGGCTGAGAGGCCTTTTGGATTTCCCCACACAAAGTTCTTTTAAAGACTTAGAAAGTTCAACAAAGTTTTTATTGTTGCTTAAATCTTCAATAACTCAAACAAATACTTCAAGGCTTTGGATCAACTGGTGGCTTGCTTAAATCTTGTCCACAAGGGGCAGGCAACTTTCTTCATAAACTGTTTCTTCCTCCTACAAGGGAAATCCTTGACCCCTCCCTGGGCAATCTGACTTAAGCTCTGCTGGCGTGGGGCCCCTACACCTGGTCCAAATTGCGTTATGGCTGCTGCGAGTGGTCCTTACCAAACAGAGTCCTTTAGTAGATTTCCAAGAGGAAAGAAGGCTTTCAATTCCCAGCGAAGGCTGGCTGTAAAACCATGGAGCTGTATTTCTCCAGCAAAGAACTGGCTGTAGAGCTGTGGGACTGGATCCCGCCAGCAAAGCTATAAAAGATGAAGCTTTCTACAGGTGGAACTGATTCACATCCTGTAGGAAAGGCTTCTCTGTGTGAACTGAACTAGAGGTCCCCTTTTTCCCTCCTTAACCCAGAAAAAGGGGCGGAACTAAAGGACATAATCATAATTGATGGGTCATTGGCCCTATTATTGCAAACCAAGGGAAGCCACTTTATTGCAAAATGCATGGAACTTTGGAATACATGCAAACACTCAATAGAAAGGAAAAGAAGTGGGAGCTCCTGGTACAGCCGTACCAGCACAGCCCTAGAAGTAATAAAAAACTCTGTATGCTGAAATGGACAGAAAATTTTAAAAGACCGATTCCACTGGCAGATTGAGAAATAATGTGGAACAAAAAGTTAAATTACACATATGCAACTGATCTTAAAGAAAACTGGTTAAAGATGTTCCATCGGTGATATATTACACTGAAAAAATTAAATCAAATGTACAAAAATACTTCCAAATACTGATGGAAATGTAACGAACAGGTAGGGAGCTTCTACCATCTTTGGTGGACTTGTAGGGAAGCCCAGAAATACTGGAAATGGATTCATGAAGAATGCCAACAAAATTTTAAAATAAAATTCCCCCAAAAACCTGAATATTACTTATTAGGAATTACTGATGGAGATATAAAACTGGACTTGAATGAAAACATTCTGTTCATATATCTGACGACAGCCGCTAGAATAATCTATGCGAAACTGTGGAAACAGAAGGAAATACCAGAAAGGGACCAATGGATAAAAAAAATAAGCAAAATTAAAGACTCGGACAAATTAACTTTTTTAATAAAGAGGAACACGGGAAATCCGATAAAACAAACAAACTAGCTACAGGTGGAGAAACATATAGAAAAGAGAAATAAAGAAACCCAACCGTGAACAATACAACAAGGATGGTCAAACCCCCGGTTAAGGGTTTTTTTCTCTCCCCCCCCCCCATCTTTTTGAAATTTAAAATAAAATCTGGAAGGTCACATAGATAACAAAGCTGAACTTGCAAAGGATTAGACGGAAGTCACAAGACTCTATTTTTATCTTACTCTTATTCTCTTGTTTTCCTACTTTTCTTTAAAATGATATGTTCTCCAACTTTACTTGGTAACTATATACCGTATATACTCGAGTATAAGCCGACCCGAATATAAGCCAAGGCACCTAATTTTACCACAAGAAACTTGGAAAATGTATTGACTCGAGTATAAGCCAAATGTGAAAAATGCAGCTGCTACTGAAAATCATCAGTAGGTTAAATGTTTTTGTGTATTTACATAAAACTGTAATTTAAGATATGACTATCCAACTCTGATGAAACCATTATTCTAACTTTCTTTACTGTCAGTGTGCTTACATATCTTCCAATAATAATAAAGAGAGTAAAATAATAAATGTAATAATAATAATAATAATAATAGAGTAAATAATGGAAATTTAATAACAGTAATAGAGTAAAATAATAAATGTAATAATACATAGAGTAAAATAATAAACGTAATAAAATAATAGTACAGTAAAAAGAATATAAAGGTAATAATAATAATAATAATAATAATAATAATAACAGAGTAAAATATAAATGTAATAAAAATAATACTAATAAGAGAGTAAAATAATAAATAACCTCAAGTATAAGCCTAGGAGAACTTTTTTAGCCTAAAAAGGGGGCTGAAAAACTAGGCTTATGCTAGAGTATATACAGTATTTTTCTTTATACAAAATAAAAATTATTTTTTTAAAAAGCCATGCTCTACAACACATAAGATAGGCAAAGATTCCCAACTACACCAGTAACATGAGGTTTCCTTTTATGTAGGGTTATGATTTTGGCATGCAAGCAAACACCATTAACACCACCACACTGTAAAGCTAGACAAGCAAGAAATGGACAGTAAAGTTCACACTGTGACTGTAAGTCTGGGTCACAATCCTGCCTATCTTTGCTTTCACCTGTACAGCGCAAGCTCCTGCTTAATGAGTAACCTTTGAGATACAGCTTGGGCTCTGACACTCCCAACCTAAGCATGCAAGTTGCACAACCCATGTGAATCACTCCAGGAAGGAGAGGGGAAAGAGGCAGGAGATGCAGTCTGAAGTCCATCTTACACTTCGAAGGGAGTAGTGTGCCTTGCTGGCACAAGCAACTCACTTCCCAGTAAACATGCATGCTTCATATGATCTTCTGTCTTGCAGAACCAGAGGTGCAGCCACAAGACAGTATGTTGGGCAGTTAGGAGGGATGAGAGCGGCAGTCCAATAGCCTCTAGAAAGACACAGGAACCCCACCCCTGTTCTAGGCGAAAGCATGCTGGACTAATGTGAGGGCACTGCAGGAGGCAGAAAGAAGTTTCCTCTACAGTTCCAAAAAGCTGAAGCTCAGTTCCTTGCTGAAAAATGAATCACTTGGTTTCCTGTTGCAAAAGCCGAAGCCAGTTGCAGGGTCAATGGTGTCACATACACCTGAGCTCTGCCTATGTTGTATCAATCACATGATAGTGGATTCAGTCAATCTGTACCCTCATCTAATGCAGTGGTTCTTAACATGTGGGCCGTGGACCGCCAGTGGGCCGCAAAGACTAAAATGGTCTGCAAGCCTCCTTCCTCTTTATTTATTTGTTTGTTTTAAACAGAGATTGGATGGCCATCTGTCGGGGTGCTTTGAATGCTTCTTGAAGGGGTTGCATTGGATGACCCATGAGGTCTCTTCCAACTCTACGATTCTATTTATTTTATTTTATTCCTGCTACCTTCACGCCGCCTGCCACTCCTGTGTGAAGCTCCTGTGTAAGTTTAGTGCAGTGTTTCTCAATCTGGGAGTCGAGATCCCTGGGTGGATCGCGAGGGGATCTCAGAGGGTTTGCCAAAGACCACCAGAAAACACAGTATTTTATATTGGTCATGGGGGTTCTTTGTGGGAAGTTTGGCCCAATTCTATCATTGGTGGGGTTCAGAATGCTCCTTGATTGTAGGTGAACTATAAATCCCAACAACGACAACTCCCAAATGTCAAGGTCTATTTCCCCCAAACTCTATCTGTGTTCACATTTGGGCATATTGAGTATTCATGCCAAGTTTGGTCCAGATCCATCATTGTTTGAATCCACAGTGCTCTCTGGATGTAGGTAAACTACAACTCCAAAACTCAAGGCCAATGCCCAGCGAACCCTCCAGTATTTTCTGTTGGTCATGGGAGTTCTATGTGCCAAGTTTGGGGCACCACAACATGAAGGGGTCGTGGCATTAGGAAGGTCGAGAAACACTGGTTTAGTGGGTGAAGAGCCTCTGTAAGAGCGAAGCTGTTTATCTGCATGAGAAAGAAGCCCAGCGTGGAAGCAAAGAAGGAAGTATAAAGAAACCTTGTTTTTGTAAATATTGCAACCACATTATTTGCTATAAAGAAAAGTCAAAGGAAGAGATAACATTGGTCTGTGTGTTTTTGTTCTTTTGGCTACTAGGTGCTGGGTCACACTGCCGCTAATGAATTACTCTGCTGTGTGTTTATGGGGAGGGGTCTTTTATTAATAAGCCCACTCGCCTAACACATCTTTGGGCAAGTAGTATAACTAGAAATATCTCGGCATTATTCTCAACGTCCAGTAAAAGTCTGTGGATCCTTATGCATTTCACAATTAAATCTGTTATTGGTGACAAATAAAGTTTGCTCAAAAACAATCTTGTGACTTTCTGAACAGCTTGTGGTGTGAGACACAAACAAATATGGAAAATTATACTCCAAAGGCATATTTATCAGAAGGTCTTTGGAACAATTTATGTATTATTTATTTACGACATTTATATACTGCCCTTCTCACCCCGAAGAAAACTCAGAGCGGCTTACAAGACACAAACAATACATTATATTATTAGCATAGTACAATATTAGTATTATATATTACTATATTATACTATACAATTATAACAAATTATAACCTTTATAACAAACTGTTATGGATTGCAAAGTACAGACACCAAGGTAAAATGCCACTGGACCCATCTGCCTGAAAAAGTTACTTTTTTGGATCCATAACTCTTAGAATTGACAGGAGGCACCTGTGATCTCTGCAACTTTTCTAAGCTTGGCCCTTTGCCCTGATACGCAAGTCACCAAGACGGAAAAGCTGGTTTGGGAGTGAACTGA